GGATGTAATGTATAGCATAAGGAATATAGTCAAAATATTGTAACAACTTGGTATGGTGATAGCTGGTACCTAGAATTATCATGTATATAAATGTTCAATCACTGTGTTGTATACCTGAAACTAATGTAATACTGTGTGTCAACTACCCTTCAATAAAAAATAATTATCTACAAAAAAAAGAAAAAAAAAACAAAACAAAGTCTGTGGTCTAGTTAATAGTGTTGTACCAATATTGCTCAGTTTTGATAAATGTCCCAGGTTCTGTAAGATATTAGCATGAGGGGAAGCTGGCTAATGGGTCTACGCAACCTCTCTGTATTATCTTTATAACACTTTTATAAATCTAAACATTTATAAATAAAGTTTTAAAGAATAACGACAAAACTGAAGAGAAAGGAGATAAGGGACAGAAAAGTCCCTAGGGTTAGACCTTGGAGCCCAGGTGGCAGCTGGCACTGGCCTTGAGTAGGAGAGGAGCTCCTGCCTTCTGAGATTAGGGGCAAGAGCCGGGAGCCGACACAGTTGGTTAATAAATTTGTCCCCAGAAGCTTGAAGTGGAAGCCTTTTTTTTCATTAATAAGATAATTAAATAAATGGCAAGACAAAAGAGGTAAATGATAAGAGTTTATAAATAAAGGGAAAAAAACAGTAAATGGAACACAGGAAAAATTTAAACTGAAAGCTTAAATGAGTGGTTCATATTGCATGGGAAGAAAAGAGCAGCGGCCTGGGACCACGTTCCGTCTTCTAATAACGCTGTTCTGCAGGATACTTAGGGCTGAAATCAGCAACCTAGAAAAGCCTTACTGTAGAGCACCAGGTAAATTATGAAGGATATTTTCAAGATGGCACTAAAATAATGGCAGGACATCGAGAGAGAGAATAATAGTGTGCGGAAGTAAGGAAAACCTGGAGAGAAAACAGTTGCTCAATGTAAGGAATAAATTCCACAAGACCCTGCAGTGGCTGCTATTTCCTGCCCTGGCAGAAGCTTTCAGTAGATCCCCATTAGTATATTTTATTTACTTAAAATTCTCTTTCTCTGAAAGTGTGAATAATCAACTTCTCATCAACAGCAAATACAAAATCTTTAATACATTTTCTAATGGCAAAAAAAATATACAAGGATTACTCACACTTGTTTCCGGCTCTCCATTTTTAGGGGGAAAAAAATCAAGTAAAAATATGTTTTTTTATTCTCAAAAGGGATATATTAAGCAATACAGATTATACTTAATCTTATATATAATGCTTAAATTAATATATAACAATCAAGAAATTGTATTGCATTGTCGTGAAAAATGTTGACTTTTCAGATAATAAGATTATGATTTGAATCATCTTGGGCAATGCTGCACGCTCTTTTAGAAATGAACATTGGCCTGTTTATATTACATCTAAATATGGAGTAAATTACGGTTCTTTGGTTGCAAACAACAGACTCCAACCCAGATTAAGTTAAACCAGAAATGGATTTAGCGGAAGGATGGTGTGTGTGTTTGGGAAGAGCTAGCGGAGCAGGAGCCCAGACTCCCTCCGGGATCCAGGGGGAGGAGTTGGTAATAGTTGCATCAGGGCTCTCACTTTGGGTGGATCAGCCCCAAGCGCGTGCTCCGTGTGTCATTCTGCCGAGGATTCAAAGGAGTGCGAGAGAGTCCATTTGGTCAGCTGGGGGCACTCTGATGAACAATCCCCCTAAACCTTCCACACTGGGAGACAGGTAATTCAGCAAAGGGTTATTATTGGCAGAAACGGAAATGGATGGGGTAACCCTACTTGCGTTATTCTTATGCAGTCATATCTCTGCCTGAGCTGTTGTCTTGCGTTGGAATGCCCCCTGACCTGGAATGCCTCTAGTCTGCTAGACCACCTATGGGGAAATGAACTCATTTTCCCCTCAAAACCCAGATAAATTAACCCCTGCTGGGAAACCAAGCAGAGGAAATCACTTGGCACTGTCTTTATACCTCATACACACACCCTTTGTTGAACTGTATTATAATGTATTGTATTACATTGTATTATAATGGAAACTGTAATATGGATCTGCCAGTGGCTCTCTCCTATTGAACTTTAAATTCCTGGAGAGCAGGAATAATGTCTTCTCCTCTCTACTGCTTTTGTGCTTAGGACAGTGCCCTGCCATTAAAGTAAGTATTCAACAAATGCTTGCTGAATAAACGCAAACAATAAACCACTGCTATGTTACAAAAGAAAAAGAAAACTTTGAGGGAGCACAAGGAAAACTATATAGACACCAAATAATTAACCGTTACCTTTCCAAATCTGTGTGATGTTTGAGAAAGCCTGGCAATATCTTCAAGATCCAGATAAGAAATGATATTCAGGAGCAAACTGTCCGAGAGCCGTTCAAAGAAGTCAAATTTACCTTCGCATAAATTGCAGATATAGTCTAATATTCTTGCACCAAATATTAAGGCAATTTGAACTGTAATTCAAAGAAACCAACAAACCAACATGGTTATCATGTACAGTGGCAAAACAACTCTGATCAGCCCCAGTAAGGCACATGCTGAGTCATCCCTGTCACCAAACTGCCTTTGGGACCAGTGCCACGAATTTGTGAGGACTTTGTTTCCGACTGCACTCTCCCTGCCTGGAGATCAGAATCTTTTCAGGGCACTCAAGGTTTAACACAGTGATGGGCTGTATCCCTTGATGCCATCAGCACCAAATTCCAGTCTAGACACCTGGCTTAACAGCTCTCAGCACCATCCTCATCCCCATCCTCGCAGTGTCCCCAGTGCCAGGCCATGTGGTCTCCCTGACACCCACTCCTCTCTCCAGACTGGTCGGAAACATTAATGTCTTTAAATTTTAATTGATTTTTGTTCTCATTGTTTTATGTTGTTTCTCCTGCAAACTTTCTTCCTTCCTCTTTACCTGCTTTCCCCCATCTTTACACACTAGGAGAAAACTAGTAGGCAAAGAGAAACACAGGTGACTATGTCATGAAAATTGTGTTCAATTTTGCCTAATATTTTCCATACCTTTTCAGTTACTTTCAAATTAAGAAACAGTGCCCAAAGAATCATCTGACATGACAGTCTACCTCAACATGTAAAATGAAGGAGAAAAACAGTTTGTTTCTTTCTAACCCAGAATAACCAAGAAACGGCTAACCAATAGGAAAACACGTTTGGAGGGATACGTGCTCAAATTTAAAGTGGTTAAGTCTGGGTGGTGACTTTTCTTCCTTTTGTTTATCTCTTTATCTTCTAATTATTCTACAATAAATCCATTATTACCAGTGTATTTTTTAGGAAGGAAGGAAGGAAGAGAGGGAGGGAGGGAGGGAGGGAAGAACAGAAGAAGAGTATTTCCTTTTACGAGTGAGGAAAATGGGACGATGAGGGGTGCATGTGGATTCTATGATCCAAAACCTGGGGCCTTTCTTAGTTTCTTGAAGCTCATTTTTTCCTCTTGTGATGCTGAAAGCACCACAATAGCCAGTCTTTCCAGAGAACCTCTCTTAGAGAGCGTGCACTCTCTACGGAACTAAATGTCCAATATTTGGGGACCGCCTTCCCTCCTCAGCATGGAACACTCCATCTGGCGCAAGTAGGGTGGAGCCGTCAAGGACACTGGGCTCCCTCAGAAGCAGACCTGAGAGGCTGGCGGTTCTCTGATTTCAGAATGGGTGTGAGGTACGGACTATGTTTACGTAAAAGCTCTGATTGTGCTACCATGGAAGAGCCAGCCATATCAGATTTCTCTCCAAAATTAGTCCAGCTTTGTAAAGGCATTAAAGGGTCTTAGTTGCTTCTGAATTCCAAGTGCTTCCAATTCAAAGCACCTCTAAAGTCCAAGGGCTTTCATGGGGGGAAAAATACCAAAAGCAAAACCTTTGAAGAATAAGCATTGTGGAGACCTCCTGGTCCACCAGCAGAATAAGAAGAAAAAGCAGTGCTTATTTACTGAGGGGAAAAAAACCTTTGGTATAATTTTTTTTAATCCCTTAGTGTAGTGGGAGATGTTTGAATATTTTTAAATGCCAGGAAAACACACTCACAGCATATTTAGATGTGCTTTAGGAATTCTCTACCAATAAGGTCTTTAAAATGTAAAAATTACAAAAGGACATACACACGTTGGTATATAATGTGATAGTTTCAAAGCGTACAGGTATTGGGGCATTTAGAAAATGAATTTTATTTATGTTACCAATATTTATTCGTTTTGAAATAAGAAAAATATGTCAAAACAAAATCTATTTTGGAAAGTAAAAATCACTGCTTTCTAGCCTCCAAAATGCTCCACTGATTCTCTCTTCCCAGGTTCATTCCCCTGTGTGTTTCCGTCCACACTGAAGTAGGCCTGGTCTATGTAACTAATAGGATATCACATAAATGAAATCCAAGCCTAGGTCATCAATGACATTGGGGCTTTTGCCTTCTGCTGCCTCTTAACGTCTCACTCCAGAAGAAGCTGACAGCCATGCCCTGACATTTTTTGGCAGCACTCTGGAATGGGGAAAGAAATTGACATCTGCCCACGACCACCAATGATCTGTCAGCCACGCATGCAAGTCCTCGTGGAATTGTTGCCAGCAGCCCCGGTCAAGCCTTCGGATGAATGAGACTCCATGCAACCCCATACCAGACCCTGAATCAGAACAACTGAGTTTGGACAGCTAAGCCACCCCCAAATACCTGACCCACAGAAAGTGAGTTATAAACATTTATTATTGTTTTGTGCCATTATGTTTTGGGATAATTTGTTACATGATAATAGATAATAAAGATTTGGGTATCTGCAAGTTTTGTGGTGCCATAGTGGAAACCTGAAATGTGAGAATGGCTTTGAAACGGGAAAATATATGAAAAATTTGGGTAAGTTTGAGGAAAGTGTCAAGGGAAATACCAAAGAAACTTTGATAAATAAATAAATAGCTGTTATTTGTTTCTTCATGGTCTGATGGACTCTGTGGGGACTTCATAGGTGAGGGCTTAAAGGGAAGTGAAGAAAATACTATTAAAAACTGGAGGAAAGAAGATCCTTGCTAGGTAGGGGCAGAAAGTTTAGCAACATAATCATATCCTACTGTGACATGGAAAGGAGGGAATATATTTAATGGGTGTGTGATTTAGCCAAGGACATTTCCAAACAGAGCTAAATATACTGCCTGACTTCTTGTTGCTTAAAGTAAAAGGTGAGGGGAAAGATATAAGCTAACAGAAGGTCTCTTAAAAGCTCCTAGAATTTGCTGGTTATGAAGATTCTCTTTCTCTTTAGATGACAAACAATGCTAAAATTAAGAAATGGCTCCTAGGCAAAGATCAAATCCAGAACAATCTCAGGAACACAGGGTATAGAGATGAGGCTGAGAGTGTGGCTGTAAAATGCTTTGATAAGAAACAATCAGTCAAGTTTTAGGGATCCCAAGAAGCTTAAGTTTATTGTCAGCTGGGAGACAAAGGCAGAAACCCAAGCTAGAGATGGGCTTTTCTCAAAAAGATGTATGGGTGTGGTTTTGTCCAGTGGAGTGAACCCCAATAAGAATAACAGACAACACGTGAACTTTCTAAGAGAACTCTTTTGGCAGAAACACTGCCTGCCAGTTTGGAATGAAGGGGTCAGAGGCAATGCAGAAGGAAAAGACAGCTTTGGACCCCCAAACTCCTACAAGCAGGAAGGAGGCTGAGAAAACTACACCTGCAAACATGGGCTACCTTTTGTGGGAAAGTAAGGATGACTCAGAAGATCCAAAAGCCCAGTGGGTGAAGCCAAGAACCATGAAGAATTAGTGCCAGATCGTGAGCTCTAATCAAGAACTGGCAGCCTATGCCCACTTAACTTCAGAATTCCTACACGCCCTGACTCCCTGGGGCTCTCATTTCCCCACCTTTTCAAGAGCTGCTCAGACAGTGGTTCTCTCAGGCCAGCCTGAGAGAGAGAGAGGAAAAAGTGGAATAAAGAAAACACAGCAGAAAGGAAATAGAAACAGTAAAGCAAAGAAGAAGCAAGATAGGATGAAAGACAATGGAAAATAAGAGGACTGGAAATTACAGGCATATTAGTAATCACAATAAATGTAAATGAACTAATCATGCCAGTTAAAAGACCCTCAGATAAACAGCACATTCATACACACACAAACAGTTCTGGCAATATGCTGTTTATAAGAGATATGCTTAAAAAATAATGATGTGGAAAAGTGAAAATAACAGAATGGAAAAAAATAGACCAATGCAAACCAAAAGAAAGCTGAATAATTATATTAATACAAAATATACTTTAAAGTAAAAGTCACTATTGGTGACAAGGAAGACAACTATTTATTGGTAAAAGGAATAATTCACTAGGGAGATTTAATACTTCTAAACTAATATATGCCTATCAAAATATAAGAGCAATCACTGACGGAGTTATGATAAAAAATGATAAATCCTCCATTACAGTGGGAGATTTTATACTTGACACACCAAACAGATATAGAATATTTGAATAACACTATTAATAAGATTTATTCAATGGACATTGCTATAGAAAAACAAAGATCAAATATTAATGAGCTATGCATCCAAATAAAAAATTGATTACCTCCCCAAATTAGAAGATATAAAGAGCAAAAATTAATAAAATAAAAAAGAAACAATTAAGAGGATCAAGGAAGCTAAAATGTTAATTTAAAACATAACTTTTCAAATATAAGCAAGGAAAAAAAGGACCAAAGCATAACTTAGTGCTGTCAGAAATAAAACAGAGAATATAACTGATTACAACAGGAACTTAGGAAAATCATTATACCACGTAATTCAAAATCAAGCAAGTCAGAATAATCCTTCAGAAATATATAATTTACCAATTCTAACTCAAGAATAGAAAACCTGAGAAACTATAGTAAATAAATTGAAGCTACTGATTGATTTTTAAAAAACCTCAAGTAAAGCTTAAGTTCTACACTGCTTTATAGGTTAGCCTCATAAGTTCTCAAGGAATAGACAATCCATATCTTATACAACTTGTTCCAAAGAAAACAAATAGAAGGAAACTCAAACTATGAGGTTGCTCAAACTGGTGATGCTGGTAGTCAAAAAGAAAATTGCATATGAAATATTACTTAGGAACATACATGAAAAAAATTCTAAATAAAATATTAAGCAATTGAATCTATCAACAGACTAAAAAATAAGTAAGTTGTGACCAGTAGAGTCAATCCCAGGATGATCCAAGGATGGAATAACACTGGAAGATATATTAATATCATTCACCATGCTAGCAGATAACAGGAAAAAAGTGATCATCTCAAACAGGTAGAAAAATTTTCATATAATTCTAACCCCTACTTATAAATAAAAATTTTTATAAAACTAATAACAAAAGGAAACTTCTTTAATCTGATAACCTAATATAGCCTAATTAGCAAAACCTAATAATAGTAGCAATAACAATAACATGGATTTGTATAGTATCCAGTATTTGCCA